AGAAGCTGTCGAAACCGGCCAGCAACATGGCCTTGGTGTAGTGGCTAGCATTTACGACTGCATATCCGGACGTCCTGGGTTCTAAACCTGAGTCGGGTCAAGTTTGGTTATTATGTCTTTGTGATAAGAAAGTTTCAGTAATATCCCGGATTCATATCCGAACGTTTGTGTGCTAAAGGCTATTATACAATAAATGATTTTATAGAAGATGGCACACCTTGGGAATGAAATGATCGCCTCCAGGCTACTTCAAATTGATTGAAATATTGTAAATTATAATTTGACTTCATAAAAAAAGATAATTAAATAATATTAGTCCCGTTGAGTTTCTTTCGCCAGTTCTTCTCAGGTCTGAGGCTTCTTTCCGAACTGGTAGTAGACTCATGACGTTCAGTAAAAAATTGTAATAATTTAATGCTGAATAAAATACTTTGAATTTTGATTTGAGAAGTTCGCAGTGTATCACCCCCGTGCCTCACAATGCACGTAAAGCTGTCGGTCCTAGGTCTAATACCCACCGGTCCAACACCCACCGGTCGTGTCTCGTGTCGTCCCACCGGAGTATGAGAGTGACAGGAATAGAGAGTGCACTTGTGTCTGCGCGTACACTTGTGCACTATAATATCTCCCGTGCAGTTAGCTAGTCTCATTAAGATTGGTTGGTTATATTTACATTACAAACAGACACATCAATTTTATTTATTTGTATAAATATCATGTAACATAGTCAACAAAAAATACATAGCCGAAATAAATGCCTCATCTCTTTGATATCGGTCAAGCATAAATACGGTGAATTGATTTATATTTTAGTTATGTAACCGTAAAAAAAATGCTTTGATAAATAAATTAAGATAGCCTTCTTATTCCATACTCACTACTAGCGACTTAGCCTTGCTTCGTACGTTTAATTTACGGTTAGGTACGTTTTAATTGTTTTGCGCGGAACCCTAATTCTTTTTTACAAATAAAATTCTAACTAAGTCAAATCTGTACATTAAATATTTTTAGGGAAATCTAATTGAAATAGACATTATTATCGATACAGAGTCCGAATCTATAGTTTTTAAAAATTTTGTCTGTCTGTCTTTCTGTCTGTCTGTTACCGTATCACGGGAAAACTACTGGACAGATTTTGATGAAATTTGGTATGATGATAGCTGGTTATCTTAATCAACATATAGGCTACTTTTAAACGCGGGAAAATATCTCACTTCTGAGAAAAAATACAAAAACACAGAAACAGCATTGTAAGAGTACACTAATATGTAAAACCTAAGAATGTTGTTTTTGGTCATCTGAACGCGGGCGGAGCCATATAGCCGGGAGCTAGTCTTAAATAAAAGTAGTCTAAGTTACTCCTTATGACATCAGCTTTCTAAGAGTAAAAGTCGCGTCAAAATCAGTCCAGCCCTTTCGAAGATTGACCGAAACAAACAGACGGACCAAAAATTTAAAAAATGTTTTTTTCTTATAAGTACCGTATATAATTTAATATGCTTCAGAAAAATGCTTTTAATTCAACATTACAAACAGACGCTTCAATTTGATATATCTGTATAGATGATAACGCTTGCACTAAAAATAAAATAATAAAAACTTTTTTTAAATATAAATGTCTATGCTCTAGATAGTAAGAAATAACTGTACGTGGTACAAAAACTATCAAATAAGATATTTTTGGCGATATCATTGGTATCATTCGACGCAAGTGTACAAAATCAGGCAAGTGCGAGTCTATATCACAGACTGAGGGTTCCGTAGCGTTTAGCATTAAAATGTTTTGTTTTAAAATACTGTCATTAATTAACAATAATAAATATGTTGGGACATTAACACACAGCACCATCTAGTTCCATGGTAAGCTACGAGGCTTGTGTTATGGATACCAAATAGTTACTACACATAATATTTTTAATCTTATATACATATATAATGATATTATAAATATAAACACCCATGACTGGAGTACAAACATTCGTGCTCATCACACAAATGAATGCCTCCAGCGGGACACGAACTCGCGACCGCTGGCACAGCAAGTATGATCACTACAAAATGAGCCAAACGTGTCGTCGTTTGTTGTGCTATAAAGTAAAATAAAGTACATAATTATTCATTTACGTCATATATAAGTTTGTATTTCATAGTCATTTGTATATCATTATGAATCCATTTAGATATTTTCATTATATTTAAATAATTATGATAATATAATATACTAGTGACTCACCACGCTTCACTTGTTTGAATCCCTGTGGTCCTAACATTAACCTAAGTGTTACTTCTAATCCATCCAGCGGTTTCAGCGTGAAAAACAAACGTACATGTACACGTGCACACACGCACTTATATTACCTAGCACGTATTATATTATATTGAACCGACTTCCAAAAATGAGGAGGTTCCTTGTTCGTCTATGACGTATCTTCTATACTTAATATTATAAAGAGTTTGTGATGTTTGTGAGGTTGTAGAGGGTAATATCTGGATCTACTGAACCGATTTAGATGAAAAATTGATAAGAAGATAGTTTGAGACCTTAGGAAGGACATAGGATACTTTTTAGCCCGGAAATCATCCTTTAAGGGGTTGAAAATGGGGATGAAAGTTTGTATGGGGAATCAACCTAGGAACGAACCCGAGCGAAACAAGGGTGAGTCGCTAGTTTTATATAAAGACATTGTATTCTATTGTAGTTAGACCTTTGCTCTACATATGTAGTATACTAAATTCGATGATCGAATACGAACGTTGAAAAAAGTATTTCTTGTATTTTTATTTTTGTTTATTTTTAATATTTGTTGTTATAGAAATACGTAGTCTGTGAAAATTTCAACTCTCTACCTATTACGGTTCATGAGATACAGCCCTCTGACAGACGGACGGATGGAAAGTGGAGGCTTAGTAATAGGCTTCCGTTGGCACCCTTCGGGTACGGAACCCTAATAATAAAAAATAAAACGTCAAAATATTAAACAATACTTTATTAGACCCAAAATGACACCAACACCTATAAATGTCAAATGCTTAGCAAACAATCACACACGATCAAATAAACTAAGTAGCTTCCACATAATATTTCAAAATAATTATATATAAAGAAAATATATTGTGTTTGTTCTTTTATAAAAAAATCTATTTTTTATACAATAACCTAGTTTATTGAAAAAATGATAAAAAATATTTTCATTATTTAATTAAATACCAGTATTTAATTATTATAATGATATACGTTAATTATTTAGTGACAATAAGATTAATTTAATGATATTTCATACTGAATGCTACCAAAAAAAAAAGAATTTAAGATTTTAAAAAATATTTCTTATACAAAAAATCGTAAGAAGGCGTTTTATTGAAAACGTTACTTTATTTGTTGAAACAATGTTTTAATTAAAGTTAAAAAAAATATTTAAAAAATGGATTGCAGTTTATGTCAAACAACTGTTTTAATACACGATTTTAAGATATTTTTATAATTTTCAATATATTATGAAGTTGTGGCAACACTCATATTCTATAGTGTGTTACAAACATACCAGCTTTATTTTATTGATTATTTATTAAAACATGATAATTATTCATCATTATCAATCGATTTTAATAATTTTAACTAAAGATGTAAAATATGTAAAAATATAGTCATAGATTTTATATGATAATTAATACTGCATTTTAAGCGGCAATTATTCAAAATTGTGCGCTAAAATAAAGTATGTAATTAATTTAAAACCAATAAATCGATTTATGTAAGCAAAATACTGCAATTAATCTATATATATAAAAGAAAGTCGTGTTAGTTACTTCGCTTATAACTCAAGAACGGCTGAACCGATTTAGCTGAAAATTGGCAGGGAGGTAGTTTAGAGCCAGGAGAAGGACATAGGATACTTTTTATCCCGTTCGACCGCGTTCCAATTTTTATGATATTTTAATTTTTGGATTTCTCTTAGTCCGGAATAGGTAAGTATTAAAACATATAATTAAAATGTGAGAAAGAAAGATTTTTTCTTTTTATATCTATTTAAAACGTACCTAGCGACGAACCCGAGCGAAGCGAGGGTGAGCCGCTAGTAGACAATAATGAAAGATTTGATTATTTGACGTCTTAAATATAAAAAAAAATACAAACTGATAAAGAAAGTTTTTGTAAGGAAGTATTAAAATAAAAAAATATATTATTTCGGACTTCGATAGTCTTAGACGAAATAGTCAATATTAAACCAAAATACAAAACACTCTTAACGTAATGTTGGTAAATTATATAAAAAATATAAGAATTAACTTAATTCAAGCAATCAACGCCATCTATCGGACCATTCTTGCAACATAACGTCATGCCATCTATCGGCAAAATTATGAAACAAATCATACTATAAAAATATTCTTTAAAGAATATAACGTCATAAAACACAAATATTTATTTTAAATGAAAACAAATAATACGATAACATTTTCGATAATAGCTTCAGCTTTTTAGCTGGATATTGTAAGTATATATCAAAGTCAAACAAAATGCAAAGAAAATTACAACGAATTGTAATTTCAAAAGCGTCATAACGACTTAAAATGTAAATATATAATTATTATTTAAGCAAGACGCGCTAATTTTAATTAATAACTGTGTCCTTAAAAAACTACAAATGACTGTAATTTGATTTTTATTAGGACAATAACCATTTAAATACAGTGCAGCCTTAAATCTCCAAAATTACATACATATAATATTATTTCTCTAAAAATATTATCAGATATCTATAGACTTAAAAAATAAGATACACGGAGCGTCACTAACAATAAATGAAGTCAAACAAACCTGTCGAATAAAAATAAAAATATCAATATTTTACTTTTGAATTACTTTGTTTATTTTAGGCGTATTATAAACACTAATTACAATACAATTTCTGGCTTCAACCATTATCTTCAACGCTCCGCTTATCTTAAACTTTAGTCTGAAGATATATTTTATATTATTATTATGTATTATATATTTATAGCATTAGTTTCTTCTCTAAAGCCTCCCATATGGGGTCGAGGGTGTCTCGCTGGTCGTAAACAACGCCATCTGTGAGTACAGTGGGAGTCGTTTCACCGAATACCACGTAGTCGTGCGCGTCGGCGGCGGCCGCGCGGCGCCGACCCGACGCGAGGCGCACGCTGCGCATCATGGCGGCTGACTTCATACGCTCTGTTTTAAAGTTGATGTCTATACTAATAATATTATAAAGAGGTAATATTTGTAAGTCTGTGACTCGGCAAAATTTAGCTCGACAGATGACTGTATGGATCAATAAACAGTGGCAGTTCAAGCACAGCTTACCGTCGGCGGTGGCGAGCGGGCAGTACTTGATGGTGTGTGCGCGGTCGCCGCGCGCGCCGCAGCGCCGGCAGCGGTAGGCGCGCAGCACGGGGCACGCCACGCGGCCGCGCGCGCGCAGGCGGTGCGAGCGGTAGTACGCCGGCCGCTCGCCGTTGTTCTTGCAGAAGCGGCACTCCATCGCCTGCCACAGTTCATTGAGTTGATTCTGATTGCTATTTTTGCAACTACCTATTTTGGTACTATTTTTGTGTTTTTGGAAATCGATAGCTACTAGTATAAAACGAAAAAAAAAAATTCTTAGCTTGGAAGTAAAGTATGTAGCTATACAAAAAAACACAGTAACATGTTATTTTTACAACCTGTTTTAAAATTGCAATATCACAGTGAAAGTGGGGTACGAAATGATTATATTCGTCAATCCTTGAATGTTTTCAATGATGACCAGTCGAACAAAAGAATTTCCATTCGAACCAAAAAAATTAAATTAATAATTTTAAAAACCAATAAGTAGACCACTTCAAAATTTTGAGTAAAAAAGTTATTTTTACAAGCAAGCAAAAAATTCGCTAAATCCTAATAACCGCTAAATAATGACATACTAACTTACAACTATAACAACGTAAACATTTAAATTGTCGTGAACCAAAAATAAAAATAAATCCGCGAAATGCGGAAAGATGATTTAATTCAAATTTGAATATTTAGTTACTCCAATCACCTATCTGTGTACTTTTTACCCAAATACGTCCAAATATTTCAGGCAACAAAAAAATATAAATGTCGCTTTTGTAAAAAAATAACACTTGCGCGATGTGATGTGTATTATGATGTGTATTATGTATATATATATATATATATATATATATATATATATATATATATATATATATATATGCGTTTATACATAACTCACATCTCTCCCCAACCACATTGTTACAATCAAAAACTTGAAGATCATAAGTCGATTTTTGAGTTATTGCCATTTTCAGTTACAGTTAGCTTCAATGCCGTGAACGCCGCAGAATGACCTTCACGACCTTTAAGTTTAATTATACAATATAATATATTTATGTATATTACTATATATAGTATTATAAAGCAGTGGTAGCCCAGTGGTAACGCGTTTGCTAGGGAAACCAATTGAAACGGGTTCAAATCCCGGGTCTCGCACCTCTGATACTTTCCAGTGCAAATCATTTTTAACATGATTACCACTTGCCTTACAGTGACGGAAGCATCGTGATGATCGAAAGATATGAATGTAATTTTAATTCTAAGCTCCTTACCTCTTGCTTATCACTCTTTGCTTCACGGCTCATTTCGAGCTCCCTCAACAGCGAATACAACACCGGGTCTGGCAGCGACGAGAGCACGCGCAGTTGTTCCTCTGTCAGCACATTGTTGTCTGACAGATATGTTTGTTGTAGCGGGGCTGGAATTTAAATAAATGTGTTTGTTATTAGCGATTTACCCTCGCTTTAATCGGGTGTGTATATACTCCAAGACCATAATCTATCTGTGTTCTAAATTATATCGAACTAGCGGTTCTAGGAAAACAAAAACAAACCTATCCCACGGGAACCGTACATTTTTCAAGGATAAAAAGGTGCCTATGAGTTATCTATATCTGTGCCAAATTTCATCTAGATCCGTTCAGCCGTTCTGTCGTGAGTAAAAAAACATTCATACATACTCACAAACTTCCACATTTATAATATTAATAATACGGAAATAATACAGATTCTGTCAAGCCGTTTCTGTGTTAAGGAATAACAAACAATCAAACTTTTTTTAAGCACTTTATTGCACAGTAAAATGGTACGTACACACACAAAAAGAAATACAATTAAGGAAATGTGCAAAGGCAGCCTTATCACTGTAAACGATCTCTTACAGGCAACCGATAGAGAAGTATACAGAAAATATAAGAAAGGAGCGGAAATGGTGCATAAATGTGTACATTACTTAAACCTAAATGTAAATAAACATACATACAAAGTTATATATGTAAAACTTAAACAAAATTTCGTTGATTTATAATAGTAATAGGATAAAAATGAAGTCCGCCTGACGAGATTAGCTATCTGTGCAGATAGTATAGTGCATAAGTATGCGATATATATACACACTCTCTATTTCTTTCATTCTGAAACTGACCAAAGTGAGGTGACCATATGACCAGTGAGATATCAGACAGGACCCACAGTTTAACGTGCTCTTCGAGACACCAAACTGGAACACCATCAACTTCCCAAATCCGAGAATTTCTTGATAGAATAACCCAATAACACTAATTGGAACTCGAATCCGGAACCTCCGGATCTGCAGCCGAACAACCACTTTTTTTTTGTTGTCGCTGGGGAAACCCGTCATGGGGACCCTGCCGTCGTCATGGGCAGGGTACTGTGAGACTCCTACTCACTAAAACCCACAGCGGAACCCTTCGCCGCAGTGCAATGGGGCGTGCAGGATCGCTTTCGCACTCACTGCAGCCGAACAACCACTAGACCAACGAGGCAGTTTATTAAGTTTACATTATATACGTGTTATTGCCTGCGGCTCTTCTCGCGTCGTTGATACGTCGATGCAAGAGAACCTATATCTAAATACAGGATACAGATTATCATCTATATAGTTAAGTCGGTATTTTTAAATATTAAATATATAACCCACCTTGAACAGAAGGAGGTAACATGTTTTTAATCCCACCAGGTCGCGGAAGGCGCGTCGCAGGCGAAGCGTCTGGCGCCGGCCACGACTTCTGTCTCAGATACTGACTTGATGGACCCATGCCTATTAGGACTGAAAAATATGATATTTTCTCCTATTTATTTTAGTTATAGTTGATTTTTCAGCTAATTTCTGTTCATGACAAGTGTTCATTAAATTATTTCAGTATTGCTATACACAAAAAAGAAAATGTAAAAAGGGTGTGTTAGGAACATTTAGATTTGTGGTCATTTTATAAATTCCATAATATTTTATACATATAAAAACTATAATATCTATATATATATATATATATAATATATATATAGATAATATATCTTTTTAAAATACCCTATCACGCCATTACATCGATCGTCGATAGATAATAAAGTTAATTAATAATCTTTCGATGCTCATGTTCCATGTCAGTGAGATAAATAGAAACACACACAGACATTTGAGAGTGTGAGACTTTGAGAGCGTTTGTTATCAGAAGTTGCGACTCCTTTAAGTTACGTAATCACCGTGGAGATTTGTGTGGGAATCGAAACCTAGTGTCCGTCGTGCTTTTAAATTAAAGGAAAGCCTGTCTTACCATCTTTGTTCGGGTTTCTTATAGTATCTTCTTCAGGGTCGTATGGAGAGTCCAAGCCGTTCAACCTAAATTCTTGCATTATAGCGTCTAGGGAATAACTTGTTGGCGGCACTGGAAGTTCATTTAAATTTTAAGTTATTTATTTATTTATTAATACTTGTATGATCTTACTACCTTTTACTCATTCTATTCACCTCATATTGCATACAAATAATAAAGAAAAAAAAAGCAATTTTAAAGTTTTGATAGAGAAAACACATGAAAAATATTGATTTTCACACAAACTTTCCAACACCTGTTTCTTTTCATCTGACATTGAATTTCAAAATATCCATCTGTAGTCTACCTATTATATATTATTTTAGGCAGTTATCGATTACAAAAATACTTTTTGCTGGATGCAAGCAGTGCCACCTTTTGTTAAATTTTGTCACCAACAATAGCATATATATATACAATAGACTATATAGTCTATTAATCATAGTCTACATAATCATGTGTTTAATTAGTTTTATCCAAATCTTTCAGTCGAGTTAGCGTTACGACGTAACAAATGTACATACATACAAACTTTCGCATTTATAATAGATAAAATATATTCATAAGATATAGGCACTTACTGTTTGAAAAACTAGAAGATCTTCGTCGTCCCGAGACGTCTGGTGTTTGTAACTGAGTCCGGAAGTCAGACCAAGTCTCTTGACAGTCTTTTGGATATTCATTAATCAATGAACGCTAGAGAAACATTTTTAATTGAATATATATATTTTTTTATTGTCGATCGACACAGATAAATATCAGGAATCTTATAAATTGCGTAATGTAATAAATTGGTGGGTTTGATGTAATTAAACGTTTATTTTCTTTTTTTTTGCATTGAAATAAAAGCTTGTTTAAAAAAATGTTTTTTACAGTTATTTTATTAGTTTTTCGCATTCTTCTCTACAAATCCTTTTACTTGATATCCGTAACATGCGGGTGCATAAAAAACATGGTCCGCCATCTTCGAGAGTTCGCCATTTTGGATTTAGAATTACGTCATTTATCTATCTATGCATTGTCATCTTAGATTATTAAGATTGTCATCTAAACTTATATGCAAAATTTCAGCTCAATCGGTTAAGTATAACAGCTTTAAATTCAGTTGCAAGATTTGATCTGAACAAACAAACATTGCAAGTTAAATAAAATCTTGTAAAATATATTATTATTTTTATGATTCATATTTTATTTTCAAATATATTGTATATTAATTTAACGTATATTGTAAAATTTCCCTTAGTCTTTTAAGAAAATAAACGATCTGTATGGCAAAATCGAGAATCTATACCTACTAATACTATAGAAGCAAAATTTGTTTGTTTGTTTGAACGCGATCATCTCAGGAACTACTGATCCGATTTGAAAAATTTATTTTGCATTAGATAGCCCATTTATTGAGAAAGGCTATATATCATCATGCTACTACCCAAGGGAGCGAAGCAGTGATCATAAATGTCAACAAATCAGGCAGACTTCCATACATTATTTTAAAACTGATGTTTATAATACGAGTATGTTTAAGTGCTTTAAGCTCAGAAACTATACTGAGCCCATTTTAATAACGCCTTATGCATTAAGCCAAAGAGTTTGTTTTTATAGTTTTAACGCGAGCGAAGCCGCGGGCTCTAGCGGCTAGTATTAGGTAAATAGTATAATATAACAGTAAGTTAGTACTTTTGACTTTGACATTTATTTTGGCGGACTCCACCTGTATAATAAAGTATATGGTCTGAGATTTGTTACGTATTCTCTGCAATTTTAGTGTCTTGTGTGTGTTCTTGGAACGTGCTAATATCTAGAACAGATAGCCAGATTACACTTTTGCTTGCATTTTATAGCCTACTAGCGACTCACCCTCGCTCCGCTCGGGTTCACCCCTATTTACGTTTTAACGTTTAGTATAGATTTCTCAGAGATGAGATATTTTCTCGCAATAAAAAGTATCCTATATGTTGACCCGGATAACCAGCTATCATCATACCAAATTTCATCAAAATCAAAAGTGGTTTTCCGTGATGCGGTAACAGACAGACAGGCAAGAATTCTAAAAACTATAGATTCGGCCTCTGTATCGATAATAATGTTTATTTCAATAAGATTTTCTAAAAAATATTTAATGTACAGATTCAGCTTATGTAGTTAGAATTTTATTATACGTACGACATTTTACATATTTATGCAGGTTACATGTAAAAAAATAGTAAAATGTATCTATAGTATAAACGCATATTAGTCTGGATGAACATAGATAAAGGCATTTAGAATGTCACGTGATGCAATTAGAAATTACAGTTGATTTTAAAAAAAACATTTCATGCACATTTCCTAACAATTCTCTTCAAAAAGTGGCGTCGACTAAACATTAAATAATATTAAGCTAATATCTAAACACACGCACACCACGTACAGTAGTTTTACGTGCGTTTTAATTTATGTCATCCGAAAAGCAATGAACAAGAGATTTCAAAAAAATTTCAATTCAATTACGAATTGGCACTTTTTGAGAACACTTTTGGACCTCTAATTGTGTAATTCTTGAGTTTTTGTATATCAATGCAATTTAGATACCTACTAATATTTCATATGTACCCTCATGTTTACATTATAATTTAACGTTGACTAAAAAAATGATTTTACTTTAAGTAATATATTAAACCATAATATAATACAAATAAATATTACAATTAGGTATAATATATAGATATATCATAATATTCAGTACAAATACAATAAACACATATCAAAATGTCAAATTTTTGATCATGTACAAACATGTCAAGTGATAAATATGACATTAAAAATAAAAAAATTAAAGTAATACTCACGTCTGAAGGGAACCCATAAATATTGTAATTATTTGTCAAACCCATAGTTGATGTCACAAATTAAAATTAATATATTTTATTACTCTATCAGATTAATATTTATTAATTAGTTATTAGATGCGCGTGCGTTCCGTGAAGGAAGGCAAAACGTTAATGTCGTCGATCATCGATGTTCGATGCCCGATGGGCGATGGCGGCTCGCTCTGTTCGAACTTCGAGTATAATAATATATTATGTATTATGTAAGCAAATGACATAGAGTAGCTTTCTAAACAAAACTATCTATTCGGATTTTTACGGATTTATTTTGATCTTTGGTTGCCGTTTCAAATAACTTAAAATCAGAGTAAATCCGCTAAAAAATTCGAAAAGATAGTTTTATTTAGAATGTCAAATATTTGCGTAAATCTAACAAAGTATTAAAAAGTAGCTTTGTTTAATAATTTAATTGACATTTTTAAATATGATTCGTTCGTAGTTCGTTCATTTAAAAGTGATTTGTATTTTTTTTTAATTTAGGTAAAACAAATGTAAGTAACATTCTAAAATTCCTAAAATATTAATAACGAAGCTAATAAATAAATATTATAATTCATAAATATAATAGATACAATAATATTTACGATTTCGGGTAGTTTTATTATATTTTCTTTTTTTACTTATTTAAATTAATATAATAGCAAATGGTATAATAGAATAATATCATGCGTTATTATAAAAAATATATGTTTTAGACGAAGAATATTATGTATGTTTATTGTTTTTATATACTTAGTAATGTTTATTAATTACTCTGTGCACAAGTGAGCTTTCATCAAATGGCGGCAAACTTAAATGGGTTTCACATTTCGTTTTGCACTTGACACCTTAAATAGGTGTTTTTAAAATGATTAAACAAGAGTGCCGTTTCAATCGCTTAATTAATTAAATATAAGGATAATTTCTCTTCAGTTCAATTTCATATCGGTGTAGTCAAACTTATGTTTAAAAATACTCATATATCTACCTATTGGCTTTTTTAAGAGTCACTTAAGAAATCAACTTCATCTGTTGTATTACTCATACTTTGACTTATATTTTAAGGCAGGGTATGAAATTATCGAGATAAATATATCTTTTGATAATTATCCGATAATTATCAAACAGATATAAACTTAGCAATCCTGGTGTAGGTATTGGTATTTGACTACTTGCCTATCATAATTTACGTTAGAATAAATTATACACTTTTAAAAATCAAGGTACTCTTTTTTATTATTATTTTTTCATTATTTTGACATATACAAACTATGAAACAAAAACAGAATAAACTTAACCAACTATATAGACACTATTTAATTAAATTAAAGGTCTCTGCCCACTATACCGTCTCATACCATGACCGTACCAGGACCGTGTCAGGCAAAAAAATATTCTTTGTATTGAAAAGTATAAGACTATGCCCACTAGACCGTTCTATCACCGACCAAGACCTTTCCGTCACCAACCAACACCGTCGCATGCCGTGCATGGAAAGTTCACAATAGTTGTCAGCAAGAATATTTTGCCGGTGCCGATACGCTCCGTGCCTTTTTTTTAACGTTGGGAAATGCATTTACGCACGAGGTGTGGGACTCACCGGTAAAGCGAGTACTACCCACTAAAACCCAACAAAGCCTTCCCCCGTCTTAATGGGGCGTCGCAGGATCGCTTACGCATTCAACTACGACGCCCCGACGGCAGGTCTGCCGAAGCAGTCCACAACAACCACAGGGTTGCTCCAAGGTCCACTCTGCTATCAGAGAAGTAGTCTTGAAGTCAGAAGTATCGGGGGGGTGTCGCTTGTCTTCTAGTGATGATATTTTGGAACAAAAACGGGTGAACCTAGTAACGTTGTGATCGACTGATATTATATTCTTTCTTCCTCGTCTAAAACAATGCCTATCATTGTTAATTTTCTATCGGACAAGTTTCTAATAGCCATCGTATAGGTAAAGGAAATAATTTTCGTAACAAAAATATTCACTCGCTCTTTCTGACGTGGCTGTCTCCCGCGAAAGCACAGGTGAACTACTACGACTGAAAAAACTTGAACTATGTATAAGGATATGACACGCGATTGATACGCAAATGATACGTTCTAGTGGGTGATACGGACTACTATTAGTCCGTGTCGCTTGTTTCCGTGCCTGATACGTTCATAGCACGGTCATGGTATGAGACGGTGTAGTGGGCAGACTACTTAATGAGTGGAATATCATCCTCATCCTCCTCAACTGCATTAACTCAGTTAGCTGATCGACAATTTGAAGAGTTACAAATTAAATATTTTCAATTATATTTATCAATGATAATTATCAACCCATATTTATCATGATAATTATTAATGATATTTATCGTTTCGAACCCTGTTTTAAAGTATGTGTAATATGTAAGTATGTATGTTTGGTACTCCTTAACGTATAAACGTCTGGGCGGATTTGGGCTCATACGTTATATCTATATTGTATATATACTGTTAGTCACTTAAAAACGTAAGGGAGCGAAGTAAAGATAAGTCGTTAATGTTGTCTGATGTATTGAGCAATATATAACCTATAACACTCGCGTTATCAATACGGATCCAACGACGTATAAATCATCAAAATCGGTTAAGCCGTTTAGTAATTACGAAGGAACTTAGAGTCGGATATACATACATATAGGTCGTAAACATAAATAAGTAAACGAAAATAAAATATAATAATAATATATTTCGCACGTGAATCACATTTACATTTTACTGTTTTGAAATATCAACGATTCGGTAATGGGCTTCCAGTGCATATTCATAGATGGCGCTTTTACTTTTTATAAGTTGTTTATCGCGGGTAAGAATGGTTAAAATTACTGAATTTTATTTAATCTAATGCAGGATGAATTTTAAAATATTTCCTATACGTTAGACATAATTATATTGTTTAAAAATGAAAATTTATGTTTGTATGTATTTTTATTGCCAAATCATAAAAAAATAAAATAAAAAATTTTGTCCAAAAAATTAAATGTATTTTTTTGGGGTGGACTACCCTTATCGCTTAGGGGTATGAAAAAAATGTACGTCCTATTATCATACAAAATTTCATAAGAATCGGACAAGCCGTTTCGGAGGAGTTTTGTTACAAATACTGTGACACAATCCATGCTTGTCCTTCTTTCATGGGTGATTTTTTGAGTGGGGATAGTTGAAAGGATGGCGAGTGACATAGGCTACTTTTTACCCCGGAAGTTTACTTAATTCCCACGAGAACACACTATAATGCATCCAAAAAAATATTTTTGATTAGAATTACTTGAAACTTGGTATTAATGCTCTTCAATAACATTAAATAAATACAAGTTTTAGCATTTTTCGAAATTCATCCTATAAGAGGGAAACTATTTAATTTCATCCTAAAATAGAGGATGAAATTTAGCATGAAACTAGCTTTTTAGTTTTTTTTTGCATTTTAGCGCGAGCGAAGCCGCGGGTTCTGCTAGTTATAAATTATAATATAATAATTGAGATAAGATATTATAAATTGTGGTGCTGAGAGTGGCAATATCTAGCGACACCTATTACCTCGACCTAAAACTACTTATTGACTGAAGACACTACAGAATATAATATACAAACTTCAGTCAAGAAGTAGTTTACGGTGGAGATAATAGGTGTCGCTAGATGTTGCCACCATCTTTACTTTTAATACTAATTTAAACATTTTATTTAAGTAATAATTAAATGACAGTTATGAATTATCACTTTCTTTTAATTTCAAATGAAAATTATGTATATTGTGAGCCTATAACAAATTTAATTAACATTTTTGGAAAAATGGTATGTGATTTGGTTTCTAATAGAACTTGGAATATTAAATGACATTAGTTGGCGCCACTAATTTTAATTTAATAATTTGTTTTGTAATAAATAACAGCAAGGATAAGTAATTACCACTTTATTAGTAAATTCGTTTATAAATTATGTACGATACAAGTACTTTTATCTAAAACTAGCGACTCAACCTCGCTTCGCTCGGGTACGTCCCTAACTTGCTTTCCCATACAAACTTTCATCCCCATTTTCACTCTCTCAAGGGATGATTTCCGGGATAAAAAGTATCCCATGTCCTTCCCAGGGTCTCAAACTATCCTCTTACCAAATTTCATCTAAATCGGTTCAGCAGATACCCAGAGATTACCCCCTACGACGCCTAACTTTACCTCTTTATAACATTAGTTTGTGTATGTGCTGGTGCTGAAGCGATTTTGATGAAATTTCCAGATAATCTTCAGATTAAACCAGTGGGTGATCCTGTGAAGCTTGAACGCGGGCAAAGCCGTAGATACTGCTAGTTTATAATAATTATACATAAAAGAAGATATAAGCCCCACTGCATTCTTTTTCCAAATTCTCAGGACAGTATTTTCTTTCCAGTGATGGTAAAACGACGAAACTTTTGGCTCAGTTTGTAGTGAACCACTTGCTGTGCCAGCGATCGCGGGTTAGAGTCCCGCTGGGACCATACACTTGTGTGATGAGCACGATTATTTGTACTCCAGTCATGGGTGTTTATATTTGTAATATGTATTTAAAGGTATATATGTGTAGTGTATCAACTATAGAGTATCTATAACACAGGCCTCGTAGCTTACCATGGAACTAGATGGTGCTGTGTGTTAATGTCCCAACAACAAATTTTATCAGTGTGGAAGCACCATAATAAATAAGACTTCTATCATATCAAATTAAAGGATCAAAGGTAACAAGGATAAAAATAAATAAAAACAACAATTTATTACGGCATTTATTATAAGCCTCAATACAAAAATTACTATTAGGATCTCTTTCCAATACTGATGATTACATATTGCCGACAATAACATTTAAGTTATAATGAACCACTAAACAAACAACACTTACAGAAAATATATTGTCAGTTAGACTGAGAGACGACTGTAGAAAATAGCCCTTTAGCAATATTGTTTATACATACGTTACATGTTCACAAAACTAGCGAGAAAATGATTCCAAATAGAGCTGCACATAATATGCTCACACATTTATTATTTAATTTAAGATTTATTGTTAAATTTCTAAGAAATCTATTGTTAACTGACACGCCGGCGTGTCCGCGGTCGTGGATGGATTTAGCGCTTCTCTTTTAGCTAGTACCGTATCTATTGTATTTTATTATATCAATGCAAATTAGTCGATAGAGATAAGCTATAAACAGCTCGTATACGACAGTCGTCTCTCAGACTACAACTATCACAGGGGTAAAGGAATAAGCATTGCGATTAAATCTACGTATAGAGCGTCTAGCGCTAACACAATTCACTATTGATTTAAAATTTCTACACTTGCGACTTCAGCTTTAATGGCAATACGAACAAAATTTTAGCAGTTCCATTCAAAAACCCAATAAGTCCAAAATCAAGACATACGTCACATACAGAGTTTTGACAACAAAAAACATTTTCATATTAAAAAAAATACAAAGAGAATGTATCGGTTTTATTACTCAGTATTATTTAACTATTTTTATTAATACACAGTATTAACTAAAAAAATGAAATATTAACGAAGTCACAAGCACACATACAACACACACAAGTCGACCGGAGTGAAGTTAGCCAACTAACAATCATCATATCAAAATTCACCACTTTCATCACAATTTATAATATCTGTCAATTGCGAGGCCACTTGCGACCAACTTCACACCGATGCAACAGACAGCTTGTATTGTACTAAGTTACTTATATATACTTAGTTGGCATCCACAAAGTACTCCTGGGCAGCCTTTGTGTCCGGCTTGATGGTCTTTGCTCCGGGGGTCCAGTTGGCCGGACACACCTCACCATGCTTGTCTGTGAACTGGAACGCTTGGACCAGACGGAGTGTCTCATCTACGGAACTGTTCGATGGGAAAATCGAAATTAGTGATTTTAATGTTTTTTTTTGTATATTTGGTAGGTATGAGAATAGGCCGTAAAATATTTTCACCCTCCTACCCCCATCCCACATTTTTTTAATCGCAATTTTTAGTAATTTCGTATGAACAATATTAAATAAATATTTAATATGGCTGCATGTAAAGTAAAATTAAAAAATTTAAAATTCAATAAATTTTTGTTCGTTATGATCTTTTTTAATAGTGATAACAAACTATTATGTATGTCATTCGTATCAATGGCGTGTATCACGTATTTACACTTATTGATAATTATTATCTTTTTACAAATTGTGTAGTGTTTACTATATGTAAAAATGAAACTCGCGGTTTCATAATATAATATGCGTATTTGATTATATAATATTTGACTAGCGAGACGCCCTCGCTCCGCTCGAGTTCGTCCCTATGTACATTTTAACGGTTAATATAGATTTCTCAGATACGAGATATTTTCCCGCAGTAAAAAGTATCCTATGAGTTGACTCAGATAACCGGCTATCATCATACCAAATTTCATCAAAATCTGTCCAGTGATTTTCTCGTTACAGACAGACAAACAAAAATTCTAAACACTATTAATTCGACCTCTGTATCGATAGTAATGACTATTTCAATAAGATTTTCCAAAAAATATTTAATGTACAGATTCGACTCGGAATTTTATTATATCAAAATTAAATAAAAATATACTTTACTCAAATATACTTTTACAGGCTCTTTCGAATCGTCAATTTTACATTTTAAATTTAAAATCATGTGTAGCAGTCCGTGAGGAAGCTACCAGCGGCTCGGATAGCAGTTCTGCTGAGAAGAACCGGCGAGAAGCTCAACAGTTGCTCTTTTAAGATAATAATTGTGTACAATATTGTAATACAATAATTATCTATTTATCCTACCTGAGACCCAACCAGACATTAGTTACACACATCGATGACATTATAATAAGCCTTTTTCAGTTATGTATAGATTTATACATTTTAACTTATTCAGTATATGTATAGATGCTACAAAATCAAACCCACCGTCCAACAGGCAGATCGTTGATGGTGATCTGGCGCAGGTTCTGCTTGTCGTCGATGATGAAGAGGCCGCGGAAGGGGATGCCGGACTCCTCGTCGAGGACGCCGTAGTCGCGCGAGATGCGGTGCGACTTGTCGCTGATCAGCGGGATGTTCATGGGGCCGAGGCCGCCTGGAACCATGGCGTTCTAGTTTTAGGGTTGGCTATTTGATAGGAGGCGATTGTCCGCCAACCTGCACTCGGTCAGCGTGGTGGACTAAGGCCTGATCCCTTCGAAGAGAGGCCCGTGCTCAGTAATGGGACGTTAAAAAGGGCTAAATATATACAAATTTAATATATGTATTAGACATTAACTTTGTAACTATTTATAAAGAATATTTTTGTTTATTACGCCATCTTTCGAGAGAATTTTATTTTAATTTATGAGAACCTCGCTGACAGACTATTCATTATATATTTTGGATTATGTTACACCACTGTATACCTGGTACAAATCGAATTCCCTGACAGGAATACTTAAAAACTGAACTTGGCCCACTCGGGACTCGAACTCGAGACCTCCAGATTAACAATCTTATATTAATAATGCTAGCCACAAAACCATCGAGGCCATAATATAACATAAATGAGACTTATCCTATACGTTCTCAGAATCACGAATATTTGACATTTTAAAATAAAACTATATTTTCGGATTATTTCGCGGATTTATTTTTATTTCCGGTTCCCGAAGTTTCGAATGCTTTACAGCAATCATGGTCACGGGAGAAACAGATTTAGAGCTTACCCTGTTTACGAGGAGTGTTGATCCAGGCGAGGTGAGTGAAGTGAGAGTCGGTGGAGGCGCCGATCACTTCGCACCCGATCTTGCGGAAATCATCTGCGCGCTCCGAGAAAGCGATGATCTCGGTGGGGCACACGAACGTGCTGAACACATACAAACATACAATTATAGGATTATATATACAGTGTCATATAAGTATACATGAAGCCAAACTATATTTTAAAATAATTTATAACGTTTTAAAATACTATATTAGTATATACAATAAAGAGAAATAGTATTAGCACTATGCTATCTCTCTCTTTCAAGGGGAAGAGAACTAATGCTTAAAAATACAAAAGAATATATTATTTTATTCTCAAAAATTGAAAATTAACGTATAATATTTATATGAAATATCTCATAAGCTTTAAACAAAGTGAACGATCTATATGGCAAGATCGAGGACAGTAGCATAAACAGCAAAATCACGCCACTATTTACGACTTTCATATTTATTTTTGACGGGCTCCGTCTATATAATACTTTTATCTGAAAATATACTGTACCTTTATTTTAAATGCGAATGTTTGTATCGTCGTTGCGACTTTGAAACCTCTTATGTGTAAAAATCAATTTTATGAGATAATCGACAAAAACCGTCTACTGAAAAAAATATAGTGAAACCAACTACAACAAAAAATATAAATATCAGCTACATGTTTTCCTGCTTTTTACTATGATATTATTACATGATGGTATGTTGTGTAAAAATCTTAAAAATAACTTTACGCTAATATCAAATTCCTATCTCTAGTAAGAAAAAAACACAGATAGGTAATTTTTGATGACACGTTTCTTAGTAATCCTACTTCCTATGCCAGAGGTCGCGGATTCAAGTCCCGCTGGGGGACATTTGTGTGATGAGCACGAATGTTTGTACTCCAGTCATGGGTGTTTATGTTTATAATATGTATGTATTTAAAATTATATATGTGTAGTGTATCAACTATCTGGTATCCATAACACAAGTCTCGTAGCTTACCATGGAACTAGATGGTGCTGTGTGTTAATATCCATATTTAATTATTTGTTATCAGCCTGTAGTCAAGTGACTTCCATTACCAATATTCCTTTTAGAAGACTTTATACATAACAGAAAATTATTTAATAGAGACGTATCTCTTCAAATGAAGTTTATAAATCCAGTGTCATGAGCGCGACATGACATAGATTATTGAATGAGATAAAATACCATAACAATATTGTATCTTGTTTGAATTTCAGATTATAGGCTTACACTATCGCAGCAAAGCTGTTCGTGAAGTTGTGACAGATATAAGGGATCGTTCACGTTAAGCCTAAGCAGTCTTAAGGATGTCAAATCCTTGCCGCGAGATGTACATATTATGTACTAGCGGTTCACCCTCGCTTCAAACAAAAACAAACCTATCCCACGGGAACCGTACATTTTTCCGAGATAAAAAGTTGCCTATGTGTTATGCCAGACTATAATCTATTTCTGTGTCAAATTTCATCCAGATCCGTTCAGCCGTTCCGAGATGAAAGAGTAACAAACATCTATACTCACAAATTATCACATTTATAACATAACTAGCATTGCCCGCGGCTCCGCCCGCGTTCAGATGACTAAAAACCAAATTCTTAGGTTTTACATATTACTTAGTATACTCTTACAATGCAGTTTTTGTACTTCTCTCAGACATGAGATATTTTCCCGCGGTAAAAAGTATCCTATATGTTGACCCGGATATCCAGCTATCATCATACCAAATTTCATCAAAATCTGTCCAGTGGTTTTCTCGTGATGCGGTAACAGACAGACAGACAGACACAGACAATAATTAACTATAGATTCGGCCTCTGTATCGATAATAATGTCTATTTCAATAAGATTTTCCAAAAAGTATTTAATGTACAGATTCGACTTAGTTACAATTTTATTATATGTATAGAATACGGATGTCTCAGTACTATAATAATGCCTTCATCAACTTGTTTTCGTCTTTCTAGTTAGCTTTTATTCGTTTTTTTTTAATTTTTATAATACATTTTTTATTTACAGCTTTTAGTTTTTGCCAATTAGACATTTGAAGACATATTTAGCAATTTTTTATTCTAAATTACTTTAAAACAGTAGACTAATATATTATGCCTAGGCACGAGTTACTAATTAATTAAAAATTTAATTTTATTAATATATTGAAACAAGAAATTCATTTAAATACAAATTAACCTTTTATTCGCATCAATGAATAGATTACGGGCGTAATTTGACTGAATTTAATTTTGCCTTGAATTTAAGTATGAAGAAAAAAAAACTTACGATTGGCGGTCCAAAGGTTAATTCGACGGAAGCATTTTAAAAGTGATATTTACGTAAAATAATAATAATGATGTTTTAATTTTCTTCTATTTAATTGTTGATTAATTGAAAATATCTTTCAAGCAAGACTACTGCTTTTTTTAGGGTTGCGTATCTAAAGGGTGCAACGGGACACTATTACTGAGCCGTCCGTCTGTCCGTATGTCTGTCGTTGAAATTTTAACAGAATGTGTATTTCTATTGCCGTTATATAGAAATAAAAAACCAAGATGGCAAATTTCAAAATGGCCGCCACGCAAAAAACAAATACATTCGATTACTATAGGTATCGTGTTACATCTTGTACGGAACCCTTCGTGTGTTAGTTTGACTCGCACTTATTTATTACATATAAAGGTAATAAATTGCTCTAAAATCTTTGAAGAAAAACACTGTAAATAATATAATTCATGATAAAGGCGACAATAATTCATTTTTACGTATAATAATTGCAATAATACCAAAAGTAGTTAAATAAATGTATACCTAATACATAATATTTAAGTCTTGTGTTATGAAACTTTTATGAACACAGGTGCCCCCGCGCACTAGGCAGCCCGGCTGCGCAGCCAGGCTGCGGCAGCCAGTCGATTATGGGATGTTGTATGGGAGCCCGCGCACTTAGCAGCCCCGAACTCCCGTTTGCGGCAGACATTACAAGCGACTGAATGCACGGCAGCCCATTGGCTGCATGCAACCAGAGCGAGTGTAGGCGAATGTATGTTATTATGTGTCTGCCGTCAGTCTATGCGCACTTGTTGTAAGCAGCCAGACGTATTTTGTGTTCAGTTTTTTTTACTTCACACAAAATCTTTCGATACAGAAAATCACAAATAACTGTCGATTGGCTGCTCAATTACAGGATGCCTAGTGCGCGGAATCTCTAAATATTGAAACGTACAACTTCGTCCACCAACCAAGCCACGACACGCTAAGTTATAGCATAAGATCCAAAATGAGATTGCCCTTCACCTATCTGCTTACTAATGGAAAAATAAAGTCTTTATCATTGTTTTACACAACACGTGCGATATATTTTGTTCCATAATACTTCAAGGGCAAATGCAATTCTTATTAAGTGAACAACCATTTTCTTTGCAAGTCCCAATAATATTACTAAAACATATTAAATTAAACTTTTCTACCGGTAAGCAAACGAGATATTTAATTAATTCGGATCTTAGACTAGCTAAAAGAAAGGCAAAAAGATAAGACGGATCGACTGACACAAACAATGAAGACGAATGAACGACGAAAAATTAGAACAAAAAGGACACAGACTGAAACGGTTTCAAGAAATACTTCAACAAAAAAAACAACCGACTTCAAAATAACTTCACCCTATTATTCAAGCCTTAAGGATGATTTTTTTTAAATGGAACCAACCGTCGATGCTTTAATCATAAAAAATCTATATTCAATACAAAAGCATTATTGATATCAATTCAGAATTGGCGCAAAACATCGTGTACATATATAGCATACACACAAAGAAAACTAACATTATTTTATTTTTTACTCGGAGTGGTTGTTACAATTAATTTTACGACATTTTGAAGTCGGCTTTGAAGTTACTAACGTCATTTGAAGTACAGTTCATGACTATCTGGACAGACCTACATACCTAAGAGGCCGGTCACGAATTCGATTACGGCACGGGGTAATTTTTTGTAAGGGCCATCCAATAATTTGGGTGAGTTTGTTTGTTACGCGGCTTTGAGGACCCAACACGCTTTCTCTAAAACAGGCGGAAAGTGGTAGAAAACTTCAGGCAAATCTTCCCTATCTCTAATTATTAATAAAATCTCGAAAACCACAGTATCAATGGCCAATTTATTAGTAAATATTTTGGTTTCTCCATATTGGGTTCTTCCCTAGGCAAGTTTTGACGCTTAGTACGGAATAGACAGACTATAACATATATGTATACATAGGTATCATGAGTTCTTGTGGGTTGTATTATAACGCGTTTTCCCGTGGGAATGATCCCCCGCTGTAAAAAGCACTCACTCTCCAGCCGTCCAACTATCTTCACACAAAAAAACACGCCAATGTTTCATCAGCCTGTTTCAACGTGAAAGAAGGACAAACAGACAAACACATTTTGACATTTATAAAATTAGTATGCGTATCGATGTAGCTACCACGAGCGGAGCCAGGGGAAGTACCAGCACTAATACAAATACTCACAAATCCAAAGGATAGAAGAACAGCACGACATATTTGCCCTTGTAGTCCGAGAGCGCGACGTCCTTAAACTCGCCGTTCACCACCGCAGTGGTCTTGAACTGGGGGGCGGGCTTGGTCAGTTGCAGGGGCATTTTGTTGAAACTGGAATATAGAAAATACATAAATTCAAAATATTTTATTCAGCATTAAATTATTACAATTTTTTACTGAACGTCATGGAGTATCGGTACCAGTTCGGAAAGAAGCCTAAAACTTGAGAAGAACTGGCGAAAAAAATTAACGGGAGTAAAATATTTATAATTTTTTTTTGGTTTTCAGAGACCATAATGTAAAGTTTTTTTTGCTTCAAAATTCAATGTTTAGGTGAAATAAAAAAAAACAAATGAATAAAAAATCGTAAAACATCTTTGTTTTTATTCGCAGGAAAAAATATTTATGGAAGTAAATAACAAAAATGGAATTCAAAAAAATCATAAATAGCCTAAAACCATCTACAGACGATACGCCGCCGATAGGTCAAAGTCGCAAACCGAGACGTACAGTAGTTTTTGCATGATGGTGTGACGAAGGAAAAATTATAATCATTATCTTTACATTATATACTAGATAACAAAGTAAAAATTGTAGAAATTTAAGTTTCCCGCCGAGTTTGTGTTTTGTTCGGACTAACAAGGAAACTACCTACTGTACGAATTTTCATACGGTTTTCACAACAGATAGAGGGATTGTTAAGAAGAATTTACGTTCATAAATTATAACCTGGTATAGGGAATCAAACCTAGTATTACTTTAACCTTTCAAAGCACGTGGAGCCACAGGTGGTTCGGTTAACAATTGATGTCTTAGAATTTAACCGCGAGGTGTTACTATGAATTAACAATATTTTTCATAGAAATTACTATATAAAAGCACATAAACGGCTAAAAGATGTTGATCCAGAACATTCATACATACGTCTTATATAATTCACTTATCAAAGGTTACCGACGGTACACTACAATAAGTGATTAGGTATAAGTTATCTAAGCGATACTAAAGCATTACTTCAAAATATTGCCTGCCTTATTATTCGATTAGTTTCTAGAGCCAATGTTCTATCTACTTAACAAATAGAGTAATTTATTACATATTATAATCAATAACTAAAAAACCGGTTGATAAACAAAGAAAGGGGTACTGAACTGTTGTCTTTGCACCTTTATTATATATATATAATTCTTCTGTGAGTGTGTATGTCACTGAACTTCTCTCAAACGACTGGACCGATTTTGATGAATTTTTTTGTGTGTGTTCAAGGGGATCTGGGAATGATTTAGATTCACAATTTGAATAATAATTTTCATCATAAAAATTATTAAAAAAAGTTTGAAATTTTCAAATTAAAGACGTGTAGACAGGACAACGTCTGTCGGGTCCGCTAGTATTTATATATTATTAGCATTGCCCGCGGCTGCGCCCGCGTTCAGATGACTAAAAATCAAATTCTTAGGTTTTACATACTAGTATACTCTTACAATGCAGTTTTTGTACTTTTCTCAGAAATGAGATATTTTCCAGTGGTAAAAGTATCCTATATGTTGACCCGGATAACCAGCTATCACCATACCAAATTTCATCAAAATCCCTCCAGTGGTTTTTCTGTGATGCCGTAACAGACAGACAAAAATTCTAAGAACTATAGATTCGGCCTCTGTATCGATAATAATGTCTATTTCAATAAGATTTTCCAAAAAATATTTAATGTACAGATTCGGTTTAGTTACAATTTAATTATATGCATAGACTATCACGGTCCTCCGTCATTTCATCAACAGGATTTAGTTACCATTTTCTGCTAGAATGTAAAACCTTAATACTGTTTAAAGGCACTATGTTATGTGATTTAGTTTTAATTTAAATATCGAGCAATTAATTTAGATATCGAGTTACCATTTTCTGCTAGAATGTAAAACCTTAATACTGTTTAAAGGCACTATGTTATGCGATTTAGTTTTAATTTAAATATCGAGCAATTAATTTAGATATAGCTACGTCTCGAGCGGGTTCCAGAAGCCATCGTGACATTCATTGGAGATACGCGGCTTATGCCCGATTTCACCAACAACCCATAAGCTACCACCTACGTATGTATTAAATTTCGTGTTACGATTGTCTTTAAGCCCATATTTCGAGCACCTAAATTTAGGGGGCCTTTTAATATTTAGGTGACCCCTAACTGTCGGTGAAACAGAAACTGTCCCCTAACAGACCCCTAACCATGCTTAGGGGATCCCTTAAACTTAAGTGACGTTGGTGAAATCGGCATTAGTAACGTTGGTTGATCATGGTGGATCATAAAGTTATGCTTTGATATTGAATGTGAAACTCCGATGGTGCCCATGAACCCGCTGCTCTACAAAATTATTAGAATTGCCATTTCAAGTTTATATCGTGGTTTCCCTGATTAAATTGTAATTGAGCAAAGAGAATCCTTCATTCTGTGAGCCCTGATAACGCCCACAAGATTGATAACCACTAAAGATGTCTGTAGTATATGGATAACACGTTATATAGATATTAGACAATGATCATAAATACTTTATTATGTGTCAATCAGCGAAAATTGACGAAGTCACGAATTTTAAGCCACTTATCTCACTAATCTGGCTATCATCAACAATGACCGACTGATTTCGATGCGTTTGTGATTTAATTTAGTCAAGATAATATTTATTGGCATTTTTTTCACCTGTCATTGTTTTTATTCTTACAGTACTTTATAAAAAAAACTATATTATATTACAAACAATAGATACTACATATCCTAATAAAATGTTTTAACCAACCTAATCGCATCCCAAACAAAGTATTTAGGGTTCACCAAATGGACTGTATGTTTATAATTTGCCGTATATCTCCATAACTGGACAAGTAAATTTTCTCCATGGTAAAAATATTCCGTTAAAACACCATTGTTAAGCATGTTCGTTAGAATAACTTCTAGATTAGTGACCCTGGGAACGAATAAATCTAATTTTCATACATTACGATAATTAACCTATTGTTTAGTTAACCTATGGGTTGTGACAACTTAAAAATATTATAGTCGAGATAGAGAGGAAGTTAAGTCATACTTTTCTTCATTATTTCATTACTAAAAAACGAATGAGAAACGTCAAAACAACATTTTATTACATGGATTTATGATACTGCAAAAGTCCGTTTATAGGTAAATTAACTAATATCTTAGCGTAGATAGAGAAGACTAATGCCCGATTTCACCAACAACCCATAAGCTACCACCTACGTATGGGATACCTAGCTTAAAAGTCCCCTAAACTATCCCCTAAATTAAATTTCGTTTTACCATCATCAAAGCCCGTATTTCTAGTACCTATATTTAGGTGGCATTTTAATATTTAGGTGACCCCTAACTGTCGGTGAAACAGAAACTGTCCCCTAACAGCCCCCTAACTATGCTTAGGGGGTCCCTTAAACTTAGGTGACGTTAGTGAAATCGGCCATAAGGCTAAGCCGAGCTACGCTTTCCTTCCGCCTTAGCCCACGTTATCCAAGTCGGGCCTGTCACATAATCAAAGACATTTAAAGACAAGCAGAAATCAAATCAATTATTATTAATCTGCATGTTTTAAAGGTGCCAAACGAATGACTTGACTGATGCTAGCAGAGGCGGCAGTGGGGGTGATATAGGTAGCTACAGATTACCAAGAGTAGGTACGAGACGAACAACACATCTAAATATTCTAGTTTTCGACATTTACCGTATCTCTGAAGTAAAACGTAAAATTTACCAAATCAATAGTGGTCAAAGTTCCAAAAAATGAACGCCGATCACAGAACATTTCGGACTTTTACCGTTAGGTGTAGATAAATCTTATGTTTTGCTAAAAAATCTTAGCATTACTATAGCCTATATAGAAAATCATAACCCTCCTGACACAGTCGGCTAAACAATCACAGAAAATGTATGTTTTATAAATTCCTTTTTCTTGTATCATTCACACAAGTCATTATACGACTTCTTCACATTAATCCAATGATAAGAAACAAGTAGATAAAGACTAATAATATTAAAATCATTGGTGTTTGTTGTAAACTAGTTAAAATGTAATAAATAATACGCCGCATGTCGATTGCATAGGTATATGTAAATACTGTTTATTCTATATAAGGCATTTTAGATTTTTATTGCAATCCCACGATGTAGAATAATAGAACACATAATTGAATAGCTTCTATAGAGTCTGTAAAAAACCCATTGTGTTACAATTCAATTCATTTCAATGTAGGTTACAGTCTACTTCGTATTGCTAATGTTTAGGAAAATTTTAACGTATATTGCGTTAAAAACCATGATTTTTGACCAAAAAACAAACAAAAATGCACCAACACAAGCGTGCGTCAAAGTAACAATCTTAACACAGTGTAAAAAAAGCTATAAAAGTAGCAACTGAATTCATTCAATTTAAATCAAAACGAATATCTGATGATATATATGTGCGCAGACCAGTGCACTCACTATTCCCTATCACTCATACTCTGATGGGACGATAACTCGACATGATCAATGAGAGAACAGGCATGAGTCATGACACGTGCTCCCGAGGCACGGGTTGAGAATTTTTTGGCAGAAAACCCTTATAAATACTTAACCCGACCTTGGTCTCAAACCCAGAACTTCCTAATCTGTGAATGTACATGCCACTCACTACACGATTGTGGAAGTTGAGAGAAATAGCAACTATGGTGCTTCATTAGCATCCTACATGTAGTAAGTACAACGTTCAAAAAATACTATTAATATTGACCGTTATGACGACTATAGGTTTATGTAAGAAAATTCTGAATGTTGAATCTGCACATATATTTTTTTTTTTGGAAAATCATATTGAAGTAGTTATTATTATCAATACAGAGGCCGAACCTAAAGTTTTTAGAATTTTTATCAGTCTGTCTGCCTGTGACCACATCACGAGAAAATCACTTGACAGACTTTGATGAAATTTAGTATGATGATAGCTGGTTTTTCGGGTCAACATATAGGATACTTTTTACTGCGGGAAAATATCTCATCTCTGAGAAATCTATACTAAGCGTTAAAACGCAACTAGATACGAATCCGAGCAGAGCGAGGGTGAGTCGCTAGTCTATCAAATAAGAGAAGAGAGATTGTCATTGAATTTCGCACCCTACATCGTGAAAAATACACTTAAATTTTTTACGTACATCACCATATTTAATCAATTTGATTCAATTCAAAAAGTAATAAAAAAAACAGTTGATTTGGCTTCTACAGTAGGTACCTACAGTAGGTACAGCAGACCGCGATACTTTAAAATGATTATAATTATAAGTGGGGCAGACAAAAATTTCGTAATACAGTGCTATCTAATCAAATTTGTACCTACGTAATAATTACTCACCAAATGTCTAGCCTGTAAAATATTTAATAGGTTTTTTTTTGGGATCATAAACCTGAGGGATTACGATAAGACGAAAACGATAAGTAAAAATAGTAATAAGTAATAGAGAAGATAGCTATTTAAATAATTTCTTTAATACAAGATAAATTCGACTAATAAAAGAACACGATTTTAGTTTCATTAGGTACATACAATTTACAATACCATTAGAGAATTTAAATTAAAATATTGGATAATTGTAATTTTAACTAATTAGTATTGTCAGGTTTAATGTAAAGTGTTAACTATGAATGTTGTAGAAAACTACATAGGCTCAGTGATCCAGTGGCTAGCATGTACGTCAACAGATCCGGAGGTCTTCGGTTTGGTTTCAGGGTCGGGCCAATCTTAGTTATTCAGTATTTCAGTTGGGAAGGTGGCGGTGTTACACCTACTGTTTTAGAGAGCACGTTAAGTAGTCGATCCTGAGCCTAATCTGACCGGATATATCATCCCATAGGAATTTGAGAGTGAAAGGAATAGAGTACACCATAGAGCATATTGTTACATATAAAAAGAGTACACTTGTGTTTGGGCGTAAACACGCTGCGCTACAGTATCTCCTGCGCGAGTCCTTAGTGAGATTGGCCGCCGTGACCGAATCGGTCAGAACATTAATAGATATTATTAATTATATATTTGGGATAAAAAAGCTTCAAATACTGGCAGAGATTTAATATTAATACTGCCCGACAAAATAATATGGTAGAAGACTAATGCCAAACTTGTTTCACAATTAAAAATAATTCTAAACTACAAAATAAAATAATTATTACATACTCAAAAACACATTCAAATTTATTACCTATTTTTTAAAGACTGTCAAAAAGAAACGAATTATATAAGAGTTACTTTAAGAAATATGGCATTGAGGCCACATAACTGACAGTGAATTTGACCTTAAAGGTAATTGAAGTGGAAAAATCAATAGGTTTCTTACTACCTAGTATACCTAATAGTACTTCCTTTTGAAATAAATTAATAATTTTTAAGATATAATTTTCATGTAAAAATATAATAATATTGGAAAATTTGTATTAAAATATAAAATGTTTGTTTATCTAGAATTTACGTTCTAACATTTAGTATAGATTTCTCAGAGATGAGATTTTCTCGCAGTAAAAACTATCCTATATATTGACCCAGATAATCAGCTATCATAATATCAAAATTCATCAAAATCTGCCCTGTATTTCGTGATGCGTTCCCAGACAGACAAATAAAAATTCTAAGAACTATAGCTTCGACATCTGTATCGATAATAATGACTATTTCAATAAGATTTTCCAAAAAATATTTAATGTACAGATTCGACTCAGAATTTTATTACATACAGTACAGATTATACTTATATATTAAGAAATGTAAGTTTTAATAACTTATTATTTTAATGGTGGAAGTTAATAAATCAATTAAAATAACAGCTGATGTAAATCATAATATAGATTAAATCTTAAAAATGTTAATTCATAATTACCATGATATGGCAGCATCAAAATAAAACATACTTTATTAGAATTGCACTAGTTTCCAAAAATAACTAAATATGACTATCATTTCTAAATTTCTCAAAAACAGCCCTGATTCATCTCTGCAGTCAACTAAATGTCATTAAAAGACATGCATAAGTAAAAAATAAATAGATTAAAAACAATAAAACAAGAATATATAACCCACACGAATAACCATCTTGCTCAATTTAGTTTTGAAAATTCAAATAATTAACATTATTAGGAAGAACAATTACAATACCAAAACCATTCTTGTGTAAATTAAAAAAATATGATGCAATCGCTAGCAAACCTTTTATTATCTGTTGCACTCATTTTATTCAATTTATTTTTAAATAATATTTTTTAATATGCATATAATGATGAATCCTACAAATATTATAAATGCAAAGTTTGTGAGTATGTACGGATGCCTGGTTTTTGTTACTCTTCCATGCAAAAACTACTGAATGGATGTTCATGAAACTTTACAATTATATAGTTCATACATCAGAATAACACATAGGCTACTTTTTATCCCAGAAAAATGTATGGTTCCCGTGGGATAGATATATTTTTGTTTTCCGCTAGTGCTACATATTACTAATCAAATTAAAATGTATTCACCTACAGTCACACAATACTGCATAATAAGTTTCTGCAGAATATTTCTTAAGCAATTAAATAACATGAATATGCATGTCTATAATTAATTTACTCGCATTATCTACTCATATGTACTTATGAAAGAATTGAATTATTACACAATTTGAAAACTTAAATTGAAATTAAAAATTGAAAACAAAGTGATTTTATTTGGATATAAAAAAATGTAAAATTTTTTAGCAGAAATATAATTAAAAGTGAAAATGAGAAGTCTGAAGTACATTTAAATGTTTAGTCCTTAAATTACTAGATTTCTTGTATAAGGTGTCCTATATACTTAACTAACTTCCCTATTCTATTATGACATATGTATGACATAGTAAGGAAGAAATGAATCACAATATACAAATCTACTGTTATATGGGAAAACCTGTTTTTACTACTGAAATAAAATATAATTTCTAAAAAAGATATTTAAACAGGTACATTAAGTACTATAAAAGTAATAATTTATATCTACATAATTGTAATATTATCAAGTCTACAATAAAAGAATGGGGAAAACCTCATAGAAAAAGGTCGCATCATGGGCATTAAGTGTTCAGGTTTTATAAGATCCATGCTATCGACTTCATCACCTCTGCAATAACACTTGTGTTCCATAGACATCTTGATACTTGAGATTTTCTGTTAAATTTAGTCTTTGGTTATTGTTACTCAATATTGGTTAATATGTTTTATGTCAGATCCTATTTAAAAGTATAATAATCTCTTGAATTAAAAAAAATATAATAACACTTTAGAAACTATGCAACAACTTTTTATATAAAATAATAGAAGTTCAATATTAGTTAGCATTTTATGTTTAATCATGCATACATTCAATTCAAGAATTCTTGACAAACCAAAATAGATAACCATGCACAGAAGTGAGCCAAGTGCAATTCAATAAATATATTAAAACTATTGGATTTATAATTTATAAATATGAACCACCTATAAATATATATGTCCCACCACCAGATATGTAATTAAATTTAGTAGGTACTGAAAAAATCTTTATATTATATTATATCAATTATTTGGCCTCTACCAAATGTAATCAATTAAAGCAAGTCATTTTGCATATCCTTTTCGCATATTTTGCAACTATTCCTGTCATGCAATCACTAACCTGTCGAGCAGTAACTTTTTAGCTACATTTTCATTTATTTCATTGTCAGATTCACTGCGTTCTCTTTTCCTATTCTCTTGCATCATGTTAACCTTTGACCCTACATTATAATTTACCATAAAACAGCGGTAAATATAGAACAATAGATTAAACGAGAAGTTCAAAATTGTATTAAATGTTTAAAATATATTTTAATGAACAAAAAATGAGGGTGAAGTTACAATAAAATAGCAATAACTCTTTTATTGTAATTCCAAGGCGAGCAAGTAACGGTTTTTTATAACTAACTAAAGAAACTTGTTATTAAGCTGGAAATGTAATAACCACCACGAACCGACAGCGTTTCTCAAATCTTTCTAGATGAATCTTATTCAATTCTCACAACACAATAGAAAGATCGTAACGATAAAATTTTATTTGACGTATTTTTCCTTTCTATTGGTTAGCCTAATGATTGAATATGAGTTAAGAGATTGTACAATTTTAAATAAAGTAATAAATAACTTACATGAAAAAAACTGCAGCGTTAGAAAATTGACACCGACACCACACGACAACGGCGTGAAAATGACAAATGAATACCGGTGACCGGTAACCGGTTATGTCGGCGATGGGAAAGGCAATCGTCATCAACGGCTTAGTGTTGCCAGTATCCTGCACTATTACTATGTTTTTGAATAATATTGACATTAAAAAGCACTGAGCAACAGTACGAAGCGAAATAAAATTCTAGTCATCTTTAGTGGAATAAATGCTTTGCTAGTCTTACGAGCGGTAAAATAAGAAATACCGTAACTATAAATATCATAACATGATAATCGCGATGTATTCTTTGTAAAGAGACTTGCTTTTAAATGTTTCCTGATTATGTAAATGAACTTGGACGGAGTATTTAACTTAGAATTAAAATAAAAATAATAATACATTGGATTCCATTCCTTCTTAATTTTTAGTCTATCTGTTAATTAAATTGTCTCGTCAGATAAGTCATAATATTTTCCATAAGCCATAATGTATGATATTACACGTTTTTTGAAGTTTTATGGGCACGTTTGGATGGGGAGTAAATTTATGTACTAAGTCGTCATCGACATGGCCACGTGACGTATTAACTCAGAGTGACAACAGATGTTAAAACCAGATAAATTGTAAACAGTTATAATTTACAAATTTGATTTTAAGATCAAACAATTAATTTAAATATCCAAAAATAACAACTGTTTGTTTATAGTTTGAAGTTTTTACTTCTGTCGTCAATCCTCATGAAGTTGCTTTTTTTAATGTTCGTTATTTCTATATACTACAATTGAGTTGAAAACTAAAGAAATCATAAAAATAATTAATGGATAATAGAATTTATTTTTTCCATCTTGCTTGGAGATTTTTGTAGCCTAATAACTAATTTCACGGATCAAATATAACCATAAAACTACAAAGGTACTTTTAAAATAAATATATTTTACAATTAGTTTTTTAATAGTATTATAATTATGCTCTTAAAATTTATTATGGAATTTAATTTGAGGTTACACATAATATTTTATCTATTAAGAAAAGCTTTTATTTTTTGTCCTAGTTACTGTTATAACTTATAGATGGCGCTCAAAAATTTTAAGCTCTCGGCACAATCTTATAACAGTGCTCTAGGTATTCTTGAATTTCATTATAAAATTATATTCTTTTTTAAATAGAGATAGTGTTTGAATATTTAAAAGAATCTGATTTATCTACACACTAGCGACTCACCCTCGCTTCGCTCGGGTTCGTCCCTAGGTTGCTCCCCAATATAAACTTTCATCCCTATTTTCACCCCCTTAAGAGATGATTTCCGGGATAAAAAGTATTCTATGTCCTTCTTAGGGTCTCAAACTATTATTACCAAATTTCATATAAATCGATTCGGAATATCCGGGGACTACCCCCTACAATGTCACAAACTCATAAACTTTACCTCTTTATAATATTAGTATAGATGAAACAATGATAGGATCATCATAGGCGTCCTATTTATAGAGACCTTTTATAACTTTAAAAAATTTATACATAATATTCCCTATTGGCGCACTTTCAAATGCTACTTATGTGGTAATTAAGTACAAATTGGCAAACAATATATTTTTAATTATTAGACAAAATAATCATAAATATAGTTTGCCTTGAAACGAAAAATGAGAAAAATAACATAATATTTCCTTGTATTACCGAAAATTGGATATACTCGTAAAAACTAAAATATAATTCAAACGGCAAGATGGATGGGTGACCACTTACAGTGTTTACGGATATGACCGATGTGTTTGTTAACATGGTAACTAATTCATCTCGAAGACAACTTTGTTAATTAGCTGATATCTTTTGTCTTTTACTTAGCAATTGTAAAACTTTGCGGTGAAAACTAGTTCTTCTTTAAAATAAAGAATGAAATATTGCTTTTAATTACTAAGCATCTTAAGAGTTATGACGTCGATGAGCTTTACAATGGACTCTTGAAGCCTCTTTTGTGTTTTAGTTTACATTTACATATCTATTGGCAAGTTATTGCTTACGACTGTGTTGGTAAATAAACCTACATTGTCCTATACTTTTCTTCAAGTGTTATTATATTCACATACTAGGAACTCACCCTCGCTCCGCTCGGATTCGTCCCTCGGTACGTTTGAACGGCTAGCATAGATTCCTTACAGTTATGAACCCCGCAGTAAAAAATATCCTACATGTTGACCCGGATAACCAGCTATCATAATGCCAAATTTCCTCTAAATCTGTCCAGTTGTTTTCTCGTTCCCAGACCGACAGACAGACATACAAACAGACAGACAGACAAATATTCTAAAAACTATAAATTCGGTCTCTGTATCGATAACAATGACTATTTCAATAAGATTTAAAAAAAATATTATTGTACATAACATATTCGACTCAGAATTTTATTAGATGTACCTATTATTAAAATTTAGATGTATTATTAAAATTTCTACATATGCATATTTATATTTATATGTTTTATTTTATGTCACTCTTAATAAATGTTATATTCGTATCGTATTCGTAACTATGTGCATTTTCGTCAATCTTCTTCGTCAATAGCCACTAAATAAAAAAAGAACCGACAGAGGAGAAAAAGGTACTGTAGTGTTTTATCTATGCCTATTTATATATATTTATGTTAGTAGACAAATAAATCTTGTAAGTCATTTTTTACCGATCTACTTCTATTGTCTTATCCACTTTATTTTACAGACTTTGTTAGTATGAAAAATCTAAATAATACCTGTACAAATAAACAAAATTGAGATGTCTGTTTATAATGTCAAAATAACTGCTTTTTAATAATAATAATAACAGTATTTACAGTACTTAGACATCTTTCTGCCTGTTTGTTTGTTTCGGCTAATCTCCGAAACGGTTGGACCGATTTTGACGAGACTTTCACTGGCAGATAGCCGATTTTATAAGGAGTAATAGGGCGATTTTTATTTTAGAAAAAGAATTAGCGTTCTGCGCAAAAAATGATACGTATGAAGTTGTGAACAAAATTTTACTTAAGGAGTGGACGAAGCTGCCAATCGTACCACCCGAGCGAAGTGAGAGTAAGTCTGTAGTCTTATATAAAACATTGGTTATTTAAAATATTAGCAAAGATTTTCTTTAGAAAAATACAGTCTCGATTTTATTAGTTTTTCGCCCGTGACTTCGCTCGTGCTTTCAATTCAGTTCGTAAACATCACAAAAATTATGGCTCACGCTTCCACGAGCCTGCAAAGTGCTGCAAGCTCACGTAACTTTGGATCTACTTTTGTGGCGATTGAATGGAAACTTTCGATCTATGGATGAAGTTGAATTGGCTACTTTTTAATCTGGTTTGTTTGATTAATAAAGCTGCGGCAGAATTATTTCCATTCACATTAAACTACTATGAACACTTTAAATTATTAACTTTATAATTTTTATTCATATCTTATTTATCATCTTGTTTCGCCGATATACAAATTTAAACAGGGATTTTACTAAAACAATTTTATTTCTTTAACTTTTTCTATATATTTTCATTCATGGCAGGGGGTGGAAGTCAACCCCTTTGCACCCCCCCCCTCCCCCGGCGGCCATGAAGTATGTATAGTTCAATTCAAATGAAGTAACGCAAATATTAATATCCGACTTCAAAAGCGAAGGATGCGAGTAAGTACTAAGTAGTAATGTACTTTTTGTTACACGAAGGCTTCGTTAATTGCGAACCTATTTTAAAACAGCCACATTCTGTGTTGTGTAGAATTTTTGATTTTAATATTGGTGTTCTACCATTTTAGTTAAAAATATAAAATAATACTCGCATTTTTTTACTTCTTTTCTAATACTCCTGAGTTATAATATAAGCAAGTCTGACTGACCATCTTTATTGAATTAATTATAATACAACATCGTCTATATAAATATTGTTTCTTAGAGACTTTCTACTGTTGTTTATGGCAACAATTTCATGTTAATTTCTTTTATTAATTATACGGTGTACCAGACTAAAAATACGTAGCCTACATAACTTTTGCTACGTTACTGCAAAACAAAAGCTAACAAACAGTTGCGTTTTTAAAATATTAGCATTATTATATAAACAAGCTATAAGTATTTCATACTTCGTTTTAAGAGATTTTGTTTAATTTTTTAGTAAAAAAAAAGAATTATTAAAATTTACTTTTAATGAAACGACGATTGACGATTCAAAATTGCATATAATAAGTAGTATACTTGAGTAAAGTTCCATTTCATTTCATAAACAATGTAATAAAATTTAACAAAACAACAACTGTAAACTCTAATGAAAAAAAAATCAACTAGACCTAATCTAAAAACGTAATCCGAGAAAATGGTATAAAATCTTAGAAATGCCAATCCGAGCGTGATATCAGATGAGAAAATAACCGAATCGTTTAGGAAAGCGCGTCAAATTAAATGAGAACCCCCCAAACTCAATATCCTTTCATTTTCCACGTAAACGCTTTGGAGGTGACGACGATAGACGATTAATAACCACTGATATACGCCTGATGGGCTGTAATGCTTCATTGAGTATCATATGTCGTGTGAATTATTTAGTTAGCATGTTCAATTTGGCGGTCAGATGTAAAGAGACTGGAGAGCTTCTCCAATAATAACAATTATTCTAAGAAAATAAATTTATTGACAACGTCAAAACAAAATTTATTGTGCAATCAAAATTTATTTTAAAATATATCCGAAAATAACATTAAAAATTCAAGTAATAGTATAAAAAATGTTTCAAAAGACAAAAAAAAATTGAAAGTGCATACTATAAGACTTCCGTGATACCATCCAGACAAAGAGAGACAATAGCATTCCCAAGGAGGGTTGACGTCAGGCAGGCGGCCGGTCGTAAAACTTTTGCCAAATCCTTTCAGCAGTACAGAAGATGTACTGCGCCGACCCCAAGTAATTGGGAAATGGGAAATAGAAATGAGAGACACGAAATTGTAAGCTCTGAAAGAAATATGCCAACCTCTTCATCTATATATCTATTTATTTATATTCAATATAAATTCCTGACCGATTCATCATCATCAACGCAGGGCCTAAACTACAGGGGTTAAAAACTTGAAATGTTGGCAGTTGATGCATTTTATGATGTGAATATCCACTAAGGAAGTATTTTTAGAAATTCCAATTTTCAATTTTAG